TTGCTTGCTGAGCGTACCAGTTTTAGTCTGTCGGGTTTTCCAAGCGAAATCGAAATCTCGGGTTGAGGAAGCAATGTATTTAAGTGCCCAGCGATGTGAGGCTGTGTTTTACAAGTCGCACATTAATTGTTGTGCCGTTTCACAGTTTTACCGAAATACCGTTTCCATGATATGGCTTGTTTTAAAAAGTGATCAATTTTTATAGGCAAGCCGATTTTCGACTAATGCATTGGCTGAATCTGCAGGAAGACACTTATCCACTGATCATTTATCAGTGCGACACGACCGCCACGAATTGGACACGACGTTGCCTCCGTCAAGCGGATGCTATTTTATTTGTCGCATTTGGAGATCAGAAACCAGCGCGCCACTCACTGGTACGCCGCTAGGTGTTTTTCTTAAAATTCCATCCAAAATTTCGATGGTTTTCAAGAAATATCAACGTGCCAGTAGCCAGCATAGCTGCATCCGTCGGGTGAGGGCATCCTAGTGACATCATTAATATACCCCTCCACCCTGCTTATCCCATCTCGGTCTTAGTGTTTTTTCATTAACATTCCTCTGTATCATTTTCGATAGGCGGGTATATGTAATAGGAAGGCGCGGCCTTCCTATTAACCTGTTTTTAGAACAGCTTTATAGACACCTCGATATCTTTTCCTGTAATTTTTCAATTACTAATCAGCTTGCTGCAGATGGATGATTATATGAATCTGAATCAGGACGGCATACGAACGAACAGAGAGCTTCTTTTGCTTTGGGATAGTACCACTGCAGAGCCACGAGGAACCATTGAATGGTTGAAAGGAAGCTGGTTTTCCGGCCACCATCACATCCGCATGCCCAAAAGAATGGTCCAGTGGGATTTGAAACAGGTAAAGTCCAGATTTATAGTCGTAGTTCTCTGAAAAGCTGATAAAATTTCTGGTTGCCGAAATGTTATGGGATTAACTGGAATGTCAACTAGAAAGATTTTTCCCTTTTCAGTGAGTTTTTTTAATGTTAAGAAAATACGTATTCGGAAAAAAAAATGCTCGACAAAACCCTTGCATTTTTACTGCGGTCGTTGATTACAGAAAAACCATTAGTAAATGAGTTAATAACAAATAAAGTGCATGTTTCTGCCTTTTTTGGGGCTGCTCAGAAATTCCCTAATATGCGCCGGTACTACTTTATCCATCGAAAAGAGTGAACGTGTCATAGGGAGGTTAGTTTTCCTAATAATCAGTGGAGCCCTTGAACTTCACCATGAGAGTTGCATGCTTGCTGCTGGCGGTAAAAAAAAATTAAAGAGAAATGCAGGTGACAAAAATTAATAGTAACATGGTAGTAACAGTAATCGA